TCTAGAATAATATCAGATGACTTTGATTACCCCAAATCCTTCTTGTTTTTTAAATTTATACATACTCATGGATAAGATTTTCTTGAACTCTGAAAACATCAAACCAATTTTTTTTTTTGTAGGACAGTAGACTTGATGTAGCTCCTGTTCTGCCTGAACTTATCTGTTTGTAACTTAATCTCCTACCTCTTTCTGAATTTTTTGCTCTTGACTACATTTCTTTTTCAGTCAAACCATTATTGTTCCTAATTAGAAATTTAAATTACATCTGGTGCAGTTGGTACACACCAGGGGATTTATTTATGTAACGGTTTTAGCTAGCCAAGATATTTTTCGTAACTTTAGCATACATTTTTTTCATAAGGGGCTTATTGATGAAAGGCTACACAAATTGTATAAGAATGTACCCAAATGATCCAGTTGTGTAACTCAGGAGAGACCTCGCAAGGAAACCATTTCCTGAATATCCTTTTCAAATTTTTGTTAATGGTGCAGAGAAACACGTTTCTCTCTTTCTTGTGCTGTTCTTTCAGATATTCTCCCTTAGTATATCTCACTGATGAAAACAATCTTATGAATTGAGATATTTCATTAAATTTCAATGAGGTAATTAAGGAAACTCATTTTCAAAATATACATTTATTCCAGTAGCTTGAATGTTGCTTAATCAGGAAATGACCAGAATAGTAAATATAGGTAGATTGGACTTGTCTAGATCAGCAACTTTGAGAGTCAGACTGTTGAAACGGATGACAGAGGTTAAAAGAGTAAAGGCCTTTGCTGTGGTTGGATACTAATTAGCTGAAAACATTAATAAATTATCCTTGCTATTTAAGTGAAAAAAAAAAAAAAGCTAACAGAGAAGGACGAATATTTGCTGCACAATATCAAAACCTAAAAAGCTTATCCTTATACTTAAACTCTTCTTCCTGTAGAGGACTAGAAGCTGAGATAGTTGGCAATACTTCCTTGTGACTATAATAAAACGTTTTAGATTTGGCATTTTCAGCCAATATAATATTGCTAAGAAGGTTGCCAATACATCTTCTAATATAAAATGTTTATTACTAGAACCACTGTCTAAGGTAATGTTAAAATTTTTTCAGTTAAAATCCTTTAACTTTGAGACTAGCAGTTGGTGTAAAGGCTATGTTGCTGGACTCCCATGTAGTCGACCCCAGTTCGAGTCCTGGACCTGGTGGCTTAAACTCACGGCTGGCGCGTGTGTGTGCGTGCCCAAGACCCCAGAGGAGAAAGGAGGAGAAGGGATTACTGTGTAGCCATCTCCCCTGGGGGGTGATTTCTCGCTTTCTATCTCTGTCTTTCTCTGTCTTTCTCTGTCTTTCTGGCGAGCGCATGTACTCTATAGTGAAAACCTCTCAAAAAAAAAAAAAAAATCCTTTAACTTCAGGCCTAGATAATTCTTTCCCTGTTTTCATGTCTGAGTCTGGGGACCTATAGGCTATGCATATACCATAGGTTGACTACAATCTTATTCCTAAAATAAAAGATTCTAGTGTCACATTCTAAGACTTCAATTTAATCACAGTAGATGTTGTAGAATATGATCTTTTGTAAACTGATCGATTTTTCTTTCCAAACATTTTTCAAAATTTCTATAAGAGAGATCCATGAAAATTCCCCATGAAGCTGCTCTTAAAGTCCTGGCAAAAAACAAACAACCCTTTTGCCATTTCAGATCTTAATCGTTAA